TCCAAATGGTCGCTTTGGCACTGGCAACCACACTCAACATCTGGTTGATGTACTCAATAGGGTTATCACCCTTGCCATAACTAGATTCGGTACTCAGGAAGATATACTAAAATCCATAGATAATAAGCTATCTTTAATGGCCACTAAGGAGGATCTGGCCAAGTCAGCCAACACTGAGGATCTCATAGGTGCTCAGAAACTCATCCTAAACAAATTAGAAGCAGCCCAAAGTAATACTTCCAATCAAATCCAATCCGTGCCGCTGTACAGCACAGTGGTGAAAACTAATGGCCCTGTTAGAGGCAACATAAAAGTAAAAAAAAATCCTACTCCAAAAGAAGTCGTTCTTGTGTATGGTAAGGACCAGGAGAACAATAATAGTGAGGCTGTCCGCAAGGTTATGCAGACAAAGCTTAAACCTTCTACTCTGAGCATCGGCATAGAACGAATCAGGAAGATAGGAGGTGGAGGGATAGCTGTGAAATTAAGCAGTATCGGCGACACCAAGGTTCTGGAGAGTAACATTGAGGAGAAAGTTCCAAAGCTTCTAACCAAACGCCCCAAAAAAAGTTGGCCTCACCTGGCCATATACTCGGTCCAATCCGACATCAATAAGGAGGAACTGACCGAATTCATTTATGAACAAAATGACCTGATTAATGCACATTACACTAATGAGGAGTTTGCCCAACAATTCAAACTTAAGTTTGGTATGGGAAAACGGGATGGCGCCTACAAAAACTGGGCTGCTGAAGTGTCCCCAGAAGTGAGTAAGATTCTCATACACTTCGGGAAAATCACTATTGAGTGGTCTCGCAGTAGGGTTGCGGACTTCTGCCCTATCCTACAGTGTTTTAGATGCTGCAAGTTCCATCACTCAACTAAAAGGTTGGTTGGTTAGTTAATTTTTATTGGCACAAAAGCCATGCAGGCTATACTGCACCACTACACATGGTATGATTGAAGGTACAAAATACAGTAAATAGGAAAACACATATATACCAAACAGTTTAACCATTAAAAGGCCAATAGTAATATATATATATATAATCTAAAATATAATAAATAAATAAATAAACAACAACAAAAAATAAATAAATAAACAACAAAAAATATATACAATAATTTAAATATGCACCATGAAGTAAATAAAACTATACAATAAATAAATCATCATATTTCTCTATACATATTAATGACTTTCAGAAAGTCCAGTATATTATCCAGATTTGGCCTCTGGCCCAAAATGTCTCTAAAGCTTGCATTTCCGAAATGCTGTCTACGACTCTGATCAAAAGCAACACAGTTGCAAAATATGTGTTTAACACTTACAGCACAGTTGCAGTGCTGACATACTGGTTCGTCATCTCCCTTCAAAAGGTATTGATGAGTCAGTCGAGGGTGTCCAATTCTCAAACGAGTAAGGATAACCTCAGATCTCCTATCATATTGCCTATTATGTGTCCAATTTTCTACCAAAGATTTGATCTCATGAAGTTTATTGTGGATTTGTGCATTCCACACATTTTGCCATCTCTCTGCTAGTCGTTTTTTAACAACTAGCTTTAAATCACCTCCTTCAATACGCATTGTATGCTGTGAAGGACTAGCTGACTTTGCAGCTGCGTCAGCTTCTTCATTTCCTTTTATACCTACATGGCCTGGGACCCAACAAAATTTTACAAAGAAATTACTCGCAATTAGATGGCAAAACAGTTCTTGAGTTTTAATCACTATAGAGTGAGAACTAGGTTTGCTCAAGATCAAAGCCTGAAGTGCACTAACTGAGTCAGTATAAATCACACAGCAACGATAACCTTTCCTATTTATATACTTTAAAGCTAGATAAATAGCATGCAACTCTGCAGAAAAGATGGAAGAATATGGTGAAATTTGTTCTGCCACAATTTCATCCTGGCAGACGAAGGCTGAGCCAACATAATCATCAGATTTAGATCCATCGGTGTAAATATGGATTAAATTCCTGTCACAATGTTGAGTTTCTGCAAAGTGCTGTCTGTAGATGAAGTCTGGGGTGGATTCCTTAGGAAATTGTTTTAAGCTAAGGTCAACATTTATCACAGGAGTTGACCAAGGTGTTATACTACAGACTTCTAGCTGTGAAATGTTGCATGTGTTCACATCAATCATGCTGATCACATTCTCCATTCTTATGGGAAATGTAGGGACACTACTAAGGCGAGTTTCAAATAACCTTTTCAGCTGAGTATCTAATACTGTACAATCAACTGAAGGTTTAGTAAGAGATTTTTGTTTTCTATAATAAAACAGAGACAACTGTTCTCTCCTAAGAGATAGTGAAGGCTCATAAGCATCCACGTACAGAAGAAGTTCTAAAACCACCAGTGCACAAACGCAGTGCTTGGTGGTGGATTGGATCCAGCATCCGAAGAGTAGATTCTCGCGCAGAGCCATAAACAATGGAACCGTAGTCCAGCTTAGAGCAAACAAGGGCCCTATAAATCCTGAGCATAGAAACTTTGTCTGCTCCCCAGGATGAGCAGCATAGTACCTTTAAAAGGTTCAAAGATTTTAAACATCTACTCTTCAGGTTGCGCAAGTGTGGCAGAAATGTTAGTTTAGAATCAAATAAAACTCCCAAAAACTTTGTCTCATTGACCATTGGGATTTTAACCCGATTTAAATGAATTTCAGGGTCCAGGTGCAAACCACGCCTTCAACAAAAGTGGATGCACGAGGTCTTCTCCGTGTTAAAACTAAAACCATTGGTCCAAGACCAATGGTCTATGCGATTTAAAGACGTTTCCAGTTGTCTCTCGATAAAACTCATGTTGCTAGACTGGCAGGAGATCTGAAAGTCATCCACATACAAAGAGTGTTTCACACTGGGAGGGAGACAGTTAGCTATGCTGTTAATTTTGATTAGGAACAGAGTCACACTCAAAATACAACCTTGAGGAACACCTTCTTTTTGGATAAAAGGCCTAGATAGTGTGTTGCCCATCCTAACTTGAAATCTTTGATTCTGTAGGAAGTTTTTTATAAAAATCGGCATATTACCTCGTAATCCGAATTCATGCAAATCGCGAAGTATCCCGTATCTCCAGCATTGATCGTAAGCCTTCTCTATATCAAAGAATACAGACACTAAGTGCTGTCGTTGAACAAACGCTTTGCGTATGGATGTTTCTAGTTTTACTAAATTGTCCGTGGTACTTCTGTTCCTATGAAATCCACTCTGATGTGGTGAAAAGTATTCGTTTTTCTCTAAGAGATACATTAGACGTCTGTTTACCATTCTCTCGAAAAGTTTACAGAGACAACTCGTCAGAGACATTGGTCTATAATTAGAGGGATTCTTGGGATCTTTACCTGGCTTGGGAATGGGAATAATGATAGATAGCCTCCAAGAGTCAGGAAAAGTATGTTCTGTCCATATTCTGTTAAACAGATTCAGGAGATTAGAAAGGGAGTTGTTTGAGAGATTTTTAATCATGCTGTAGTGGATTTTATATGGGCCTACAGCAGTATTCCCCGAGCGAGAGATTGCTGTATGTAATTCAATTCTAGTGAATGGCACATTATATTCCTCATTAGATGAGGAGTGAAAGTTTAAATATTGTTTTTCACTTTGGGCTTTATAAGCTTGAAAATTCCTTTTTAAACATTACATTGCTGGATGAAAAAGAAAACGTTTCACCCAACGTATCAGCAATATCCTGTATATCGCTGATTATTGTGCCATTATTTTCCAGCATGGACAGGGATTGAGAAGCATATTTCCCGTTAATTTTATGGATTTTATCCCAGACTGCTTTTCAGCTAGTGGAAGATGTTATGCTAGATACATACTTCCTCCAAAAATCCCTTTGGCTTTGCCTTCTTATTTTTCTGGCATTTGCCTTCGCTTTTTGAAAAGCTATCAAATTTCTAGAAGTGGTGTATCTTCTGAAAATTCCCCATGCTTTCTTTTGTGCTTTAAATGCTACCTCGCAATTCTGGTCCCACCATGGTTTCAGATGCTTTGGGTATTTAGTTGATGTCTTTCCCATTGTTTTTTCGGCTGCCTGAATAATACTGGAAGTGACAACTTCAACTGCATCATTGATATCAGCAGTATTGACAATTTCCTCAGTAATGTCAGCCAAAGAGGAAAATGCAGGCCAATCTGCCGTTTCAAGTTTCCAGCGTGGTAGACAAGCTGTTTCACAGCTTTCTCTGCCTTGATATTTTAGAAATATTGGGAAGTGGTCACTAGGGAGTGAATTAGATCCAACCTCCCATGAAAATGCTGAAAATAGATTCGGAGTTGCTAATGATAGATCAATGGCAGTAAATGTTCTTCATGGGGCATGGAAGTATGTCACTTCTCCAGTATCAAATAGATACTGGAAATAGATACAAACAGATTCGGAGTTGCTAATGATAGATCAATGGCAGTAAATGTTCTTCATGGGGCATGGAAGTATGTCACTTCTCCAGTATCAAATAGATACAGTTGCTGATTACCTATAAATCTCTCAATGGCCCTGCCTCGACGGTTGATGTCAGGACTGCCTCACATAGGATTGTGACCATTAAAATCACCAAGTAAAAGGAATGGTGTTGGCAGCTGTTCAACCAAGGCACTCAGTTTATTCTCATTGACTCTGACATCTGGTGGCAAGTATATAGAACAAACTGTGACAGTTACGCCAATTGAAATTCTGACTGCCACAGCTTGCAGCTCTGTTGTTATTTGTACCAATAAGGATGGAATGCGATTTGAAACCAAAATAGCCACACCGCCACTGGCACGGTTGTGGCTATCATCCTTGCGGTAGAGACTGAATCCTTTTAAAGTAATTCTTTCTCCAGGTTTCAGATGGGTTTCCTGGAGTGCCACACAGAGAGATGAAGTAGAGGATGTCAAGTGTTTAATGTGAGAGAAATTGTTGCGGAAACCATGACAGTTCCATTGAATTATTTTATAACCCATTATGTGTTTGAGGTAGCAATCTTTGTGAGAGCATTTCTCTTTAATCTAACCGGGATTTTTCTTTTGAAGGTGATATTGGTTTTGTCACCTCCCGATTAGTCTCTTCATCAGAGATATCAGAAAACTCACTCATAGAGTGAGCCTCTGATTTTTTACATTTACAGAGAGCCGCTTTTACTCTCTGCTTGTTTAGTGGGTTCTTACTAGCCTTTTTAGAACCCAGGTTCCTTGTTATTACCCCTGCTTTAGGTAAGGGTGTTTTTGGTTTTATACTCTCCTTTTCTGGTGTTTTTTTTGGTGTAATCAGTAAACATTTCACATGCCTGGTGAGGGATTCCTTTGGGGAAACAGAAATATCGGTTTGAACAACACATGTTTTTGTGGATTTCAAAGCAGCAGCAAATGTTTTTTGTTTTAGTGGTGCACTTGAAGTGACCATGCGACGTGCCTCTGGGTAAGGTAAGTTGTTGACTGTTTTTACACGCTGGATTTCTTTTTCTGTCTGCCATGCAAGGCATTTGCGAGAGTAGGCGGGATGTGCGTCTTTGCAATTCACATAGCATAGAGTAGTGGTACACTCAGTGCTCTGGTGACCTTCCATTCCACACTCTGCACATACATTCTTCCCTCGGCAGGATGTCTGTGAATGTCCAAACCGTTGACATTTGAAACAACGTAGTGGGTTTGGAACGTATGGACAAAGTGGACAGCGCAGGTATCTTGCAGTAATGAAAGATGGCAATGTCGGCTTGTTAAATGTGAGGATAAGATGTTTGGTTGGTATCAATTTGCCATCTCAACAAATGGAGATACGTCAAACAGCAGTGACACCTTGGTCTGAAAGGCCAATCTGAATATCTGACTCTTCTTCAGACATCAGATCAACCTCAGATATCACACCACGAGATGAATTTAAACTTCCGTGTGGTGTGACAGTCACTTCCATGTCTCCCAGTGTCTTTATTGTTAAGAGTTTTGCCGACTGTTGAGGTGAGGCTGTTTCTATCAGTAAATCTCCCGATCTCAATTTTTGAATTTTTTTCAGATGTCCAATAGTCGATTCAAACAGTTTTTGTATTAAGAAAGGAGAGCATTTCGATAAAGGTTTTTCTCCAGTTGCGTGTATTATCAGATAAGTAGGTTGACTGAAATTGTTTTCCTTGTTTCTTGGTACTTGATCTGGTCTTTGTTGTTTTATGGTTTTTGGGTCCATATTGAGAAATAAATATTCAGCTCCTAGTGACCCCACCCACCATGGGGCCCAACAAGGGGATGTCGTCACATGGGTGATTCCCATAGACTGTCACACCAGGGTTTCCCAGGAGCTATACCCTCACAATGCAGTCAAGAAGAGCACATCTGAACTGACAAGACAAAACTGTCAAGCAGGGACGCGTCCGCCCGGTCTGCATCGATCGGTTGACTCCAAGCCGAGGTCAAGAATGACTCAACGACCAGCCGATTGACTCAAACGGAGCCTGATTTGAGCCTCCCGTTTATCCGAAGCAGGGGCCAAAGCAGTGTGTTGGGGACGTTATGTTGCCCCTCAACTACCAGGATCCCTCTTTCCGGCATACAGGGTACCACGCACGGCAAACACGTGGGTGGGCGTTCAGATCCCAGGGATGGTGAAGAAGAGTTACTAAACCATCTCTGGGAGGTCCCCTCACCACGGACAGGAACCCACATCGAGGGGGCTGTAGGAAAGAGAGATTTTAGATGTAAATCTGAGAGAGGTAGAAAGGTATCGTACCACGACCGGTATACGGAATCGAGGACCGCCGACGGCAAACAATAGAGAAGAAAGGGAGTCTAAAATTAAATGTGTCATGTGTGGCTTAGTGGGAGATTTTAGCAGAAATTGCCCTTGGAGGCATATTAAGCAAGAAAGATCGAAATCCAAGGCAACACGAGTAGTTAAAATGGACGAAACTGTAAGACCCAGCGACCAGCTAATCGCCAGAGTAAACATTGATGAGGACGCGATCAGTGAGAACATACCTGCTAGCGCTAACAAAAACATTGAGCTTACTTGTCAGGATCGTCAGTTTTCTGTGATAGTGGATACCGGAGCAGAAATAACGGTAATCAGGAAGGCTCTGATACCCGATCACATGTCTCATGCTGCAAGAAAGATCAGGCTGATCGCTGCGTTCGGACAACAGGTAACTGCAGCCTTGGTTACCATTCCTGTCAGCTTAAAAAAAACGGCCGGACAGAAAGGAAGCGGATTACACCCTGGTTTTAATAATTTGCGCCCTAACTGATGAGCTTAGCGGTACCATGGATGCATTAATTTCCGCAGCCGATTATTGCTCTTCGGAGGAGGCTAAGCGAGCTGAGACGAACAAACAGATACAGTCGGTCGTGAATGAGATCATTATAGAGCGCGATGCAAGCCCGGTGGCTGATGGTGAGGACAGTATCGAGAGTTCAGACGTAAGCGACAAAAGCAAACAATCACTCCATGAGGCGCAAGTTAGAGATGAGACCCTCAACGATAGTTGGGATTTAGCTAAACAAAGAAAGAATGGGTACACCATAGAGGGGGGGTCTTTTATATCATATGGATCAGTGGTATGGCAGGAGAATGAAGCAGGTAGTTCTACCACTGGAATGTAGGGGGCAGGTACTAAAGTTGGCCCATCAGTCCCCCTGGGGAGGACATTTAGGAAGTCGCAAGACCACTAACAGAATCAGAGAAGCATTCTTCTGGCCAAGTATGGCGACGAATGTGAAGAAATATTGCCAAGCTTGCCATAGATGCCAGGTACGCGCCCCCTATCGGAAGAATGATCGTACGCCGATTAGTCCCCTCACTAGGCCAGATAGAGCGTTTCAGGTGGTGAATCTGGATGTAATTGGTCCGATCGACCCACTGTCTGCTAGAGGACACAAGTATGTCCTTTGCCTCATAGATTTATGCACGAGGTGGCCAGAAGTAAAATGCATTCGATCTTTGTCAGCTAAGACGACATGTAATGCGTTGTTACAGGTATTTTCCCAAACTAGATTCCCCAACCTGCTGTATTGTGACCTGGGCACTAACTTCACGGCACAACTCACCCAGGAGATGCTCAGGCGAATGGGCATATCTATCCGATTTTCTACTCCCGATCATCCTCAAAGCAATGGTGCAGTTTAGCAATGGAACAAAACATTCAAAAATATGTTAGCCCATGTGATACAGGAGAACAAGAGGGATTGGGATAGGATAGTTCCCTTTTTGTTAGGTGTATCGGGAGGTGCCGAGCGAGACCACTGGTGTATCCCCGTTCGAATTGTTATATGGCAGAGCTCCGACAGGTTCTTTATCTGTCCTGAGAGGCATATGGGCAGGCGACGTTAGTCCTCCAGATAGTCTAAACACCAACGTCAAGGAGTATTTAGATAAATTAACTGAAAGGATTAAGGTAGTACATAATTATGCTAATAAAAGCGCAGCGTCCCAACAACAGGTCTACACAAGCCATTATAACCGGCATGCGAGACAAAAGGAATTTGTAGTAGGAGACGCTGTCCTAGTTTTAAAGTCGCTCTGCAACTGCAAAACAGATGACAGACGGGAGGGTCTGGGTGTCATAGAGGAAAAGGTGCGCAACAAGAGTTACTTGGTAAAAATGGAGAACGGGGCGAAGAGATGGGTGCATGTTGATAAACTGAAGCAGTATGTACGTGAGATGCATTCCATCAGGGTTATATTCAAGGGGGATGACGACTTCGGCAAAGTTATGGTTGCTCCAACAACATTCGGAAAAATCGAATCTCCGTCTGGAGGAAAACAGGCAAACCTAGATTCATGTTCACAGTTAACCAAGAGGGAAAGGATAGAGTTAGGGAATGTCCTAGAGGACTACCAGAAGCTATTCGATTCAAGACCGGGGAGAATAGCTGCCAGATGCCATAGCATTGTCTTAAAGGAAGGATGGCAACCAAAACGCCTAATACCATATAGGATACCACTGGCTTTAAAATCCAAAGTGGACCAGATAATTGATGAATTACTCGAGGTTGGGTTAATCAAAAGCAGTTCCTTGGAGTTCGCTCACCCGATTGTTTGCGTTGCAAAGAAAGAGGGGAAAATCAGACTCTGTGTAGATTATAGACATTTAAACACAGGATATTTATTTGCTATAGTGCCTATGTCAGGGGTCGGCAGTTTGTCAAGTGAGAAGAGCCAAATTGTCATGAAAACAGGATAACAAAAGTACCAGAGAGCCGCATATTAATTTAAATGTGCGAAATACAACACACAACAGGGGCACCTCTAGTGGCTGTTTTCGGCATAACATTACACGGATGGACGGACACGCGTTCAATGGGTTATATATATAGATATGCTTCAAATGCTACCACTCTTATGCGACTCATATTGAACAATGCAAGTGTGGTCATATGCGGACGGCGTACGAGTCGAACTTTGTTCGGCGGCTCTATCTCATAAACTCATAAGTTATAAGGCTGCAGTGAAATGAGGTGAGGTGAAATTGGAGTTTATGTCCGAAGAGCCGCTGATTCCAACCCTTGTCCTATGTCCCATCCGACAGAGCTCATCTATCAGATTGCTGTCTCAATACATAACCTCGCTAGATTTAAGTAGAGGATATTGACAAGTGCCTCTAGATGCAAGCTGTCGACACATGACCGCCTTCATAACGCACAGGGGGGCAATTTTCTTGGGAGGTAATGCCATTCGGATTCAGGAACGCATCTGCCACTTTTCAACGTATCATGGACGAAGTTTTAGCCCCTATAAGGCTTATGCGATGGCATATATTGATGACATTGCCATCTTTTCCAATAATTGGCACGAACACTTGAGACACATGAGAAGCGTATTAGGTTCGTTACAAGACAATGGGTTTACTGTAAATATCGTTAAGTGTCAATTTGCACAACCGCATATCAGATACTTAGGGCATATCGTTGGGTCAGGTCATCATAACCCCGATCCTGATAGAGTTGAGGCAATCACCAGGTTAGAACTACCAAAACAAAAAAGCAAATGTGTAGTTTCTTGGGAATCTGCGCCTAATACCAAGACTATATCGAAGGTTTTGCCAATGTGACGGCACCCTTAACCAATTTATTGGATCGCCAATCTCCTAACGTCATAAATTGGGACCCTGTGGCCACCCAAGCCTTTTGTGCAATCAAGGAGGTCATTTGCGTTGAGATATGTAGGCAACATATTATGTAAGCATGTAATCATGTGTCATGTAAACATGTAATCATAAATGCAAATGACCCCCTTCATCAGGTGAGGTCAGGTGATCATTTGCGCAATGTGTCGAGGGAAGCGTCAGTATATAAATCCGTTTGCCGAGGTGCTGAACTAATGAAATCAATATGCCGAAGGCGATCTGTAAAGATATACGTGCTTTAATAGTGAAACACCACGATGAAGGTGCCACCCAGGAGGAAATTGCAGAAATGTTTTCCATATCAACCCGAACTGTGGCGAGAGTCATCCGGCTACGGCAGGAAACGGGATCGTTGTCGCCGAGAAAGGTGCCGGGCCGAGCCCGCAAGACAACGGCCGACCAGGATGCTCGCCTCGCTGCTGCCTCGGAGGCGAGCCCTTTCAAAATGGCTACTACTCTCAGGAGGGAGCACATTCTAGACGTGTTGGCATCCACTGTTAAACGAAGGTATGTAACATTTGTAATATAATACTGACACTTCCAGCAAAAAATATTTCTATGGAAATGTCAATATTACAGAAATACAACTGTGTTAACGTGTTCTTGCGTATACAGAAATGTAGGAAACAGGATAATATATATATTTGTTTTAATAATAGGTTAAAAGAACGCAACCTTCATGGCCGCAGAGCAGCTAAGAAACAGATATTAACCGAAAGCAATAAGGTTGATAGGGTGGAATTTGCCCAGACCTATGCAAACTGGACAGTGGATGACTGGGCAAATGTCATCTTTTCCGATGAAACTACATTCTCCTCCGAGAATAGCGGGACCATTTGGGTGCGCCGACCACCATCGACGCGTTTTGACGCGAAATACGTGTGGCGCACCCAACGAAGCGGTCGCTTCTCAGTAGGTGAGTTTTTACATTTCATATGGTCGTCCATGTGTCGATCACAACTTGATTTGACGTTTTCTGTTTGCAGCTATGTGGGGCTGGATGAGTTTAGCGGGACCTGGGGAGTTGGTCAGAATTGACGCCCACCTTGACACAACACAATACCTCCATATATTGGAAGATGTGCTATTGCCAACAGTGAATGCAGTGTTCGGTTCCAAGGTGGTTTGTGCAAGACCGCTCCCCGGTCCACACATCCCGAAGAATGCAGGAATGGCTGCAGGAGCAGAATGTGTTGGTAGACATGAAATGGCCCCCCAGGGGGCAGACCTCAACCCCATCGAGCATGTATGGGCAAAAATTACAGAGCCCATTCAAGCGGCCACTCCAGACGAACTGTGGAGCATAGTCAGCCGTCGGTGGGAGAAACTGCGCGAGGGCATACTTTGCAAAAGTCTTCTCGCAAGTATGCCCTTGCGAATGGCTGCGGTCGTCGATAAATGCAGGGACTGAACGAGGTATTGACTCTCTCCCCTCCGTCCGCAAAGTATATTTTTTTTTGTTATATCTGTGGTAAGAACACCACACTGTTTACTAATTTTGTAAACACTTAATAAATGTATATAGTCATTTGTAATCTGTGTGTTTCTTATAAGAAGTCATGAAAACGTTGCACAATTAACCGTTATAGTTATTATAACTGTTACTTGGCATTAATGTGCATTACTGGCAGATTGGTCGCTTCGTTTGTTATATCTGATTCGCAGCCAATACGGTTTGTGATCTACAGGGTGTGACCTGCAGGAACATCCAATCAAGCAAGTAGAAGAAGGTGTGGCTAACACCTTTTAACAAATCGTGTTCAAGGAAATTTACCGATGTTTTATTGGATAATAACAAACCAATATAGTTTGTGTTTTGTCTCTCAAGTAGAAAATTTAATCAGTAAGTAATAAAGTGGCAAGATTGTGAAAAGGGGAGAGAAAGCAAATTCAGAAGAAAAAAGAGTTGAGGAGAGAAACGTAAATTTACAAAACACTGAGGCATGTCACCTTTGCAGTTGAACTTGTTTATTTAGAAAAAAAATTGAAATCTTAAACAGCGATTCTTCGAACTAACATATTAGTTCCAAATTCCCGTTGTTGCTCTTCAATCGACAAAAATGTAAAAGTCTCATTACCTGGTTTGACATTCGTGAACATTACAAATCGTGTGTTCCACGAGTCTCATCAAAACCCGAACTTAGTTGATAGCGATAATGCAATGTATCGCTCTTAATTATGTCATGTAAAATGTTTATTTTCATTTGATTGCAAAACACTGTAAGATTGTTTCCAGTAGCTTAACCCCTTCATTAGAAAGCCTTCGAAATCACGCGCTGAAAAATGTATAGCTTTTGATTACTTACAAAAATATTTAGTAGAAATGTAAAAAAGTGTGTATATTTATTATTTATAATACGGCGAAAACGTTCCCTGAATGCCCTCTTTTCCGGATAAACAACTTTACAGGCAACTTCACGCCTGCAATGATGGCTTTCCCATAGAAATTCTGTGTGATGCGTGGAAAGCTGCCATTCGTAGATTACATCACATGAGCTTTAAATAATAATTAAAAACATATAAAAGAAAATTACAAGGTATAAAAATAGTTATAACGTAATATATCATGTGATACGTGAATACTTACAAAAAATAAAAGGTCGATTCGAATATAATGTGAATTTAAAAATTAATAAAAACAAAATTTGAATACAATGAGATCTGTTTATAAAAGTGCAATATATTTTATTAATATATATATATAATAACAAAGAAGAGATATGAAAACATTTTTTGCAAACTTGAACTCTCAAGAAATATTTATTTATTATATAAATCACGGAATGCTCGTTACCATTTTAATTCATAAACTTTATACAAGTAGAATTTATAACAAATCGATTTAGAACATGATAAAAACACTTTTATAACCAAAGCGGTAATATATTATAAAAAATGTATTAAAAATAAACAGTTCTGACAAAACTGATTCTTACATATCAAGGACAACATTCCGTTCAATGAAATTAAACGGTAACCTTGACATCTGACCCGCCTCCAACAAGGAAGGGAGTTCTTGTTTACAGAGTAACGTGATACTTCGTGCATTGTTGCCGTTAACGGTGGGTGTGGATGGCAGCTCACTTGACTCCCTGTTGTAAAAGTAATAAACTATAACCGACCTTGACAAACGTGTCTAGTTACTAAGAATAACAAGTGGGGAGAAGTTCTTTAAACAGTAATAAAAAGCGGTTCATTAAGGAATTCTCCTGCTATACTAGTATTACCGCAATAGCAATAAACAATTAACAATGGACTTTGAAAGACAGTCAATTCCTATCCGATTACAAAAGAACCGACGACAATCCGTGAAAGTTGAGATAATCTATTGGCAAGAGAAAGCTTATCTGTTTACTTTAAAGCCGTATCGTCTCTAATTACAGGAAATTAAACTAAGTTAAACATTATAAAGACAGAAAAGTATCAAAATAACAGATATAATCATAATTTGTGATAATCAGGGCCACGATTTTAAAATAAAAACGCTAAGCAAGCAGTGATAAGCGGCTAGTAATGTCAACCTGTATCACGCTTGACTGCACACTGAAGTCCCTCCGGCTTGATTTCCTCACCCCTATTAAAGCAAATCGGACCAGTCCACTTCAAACACAGTTGCTAACAGGTACTGCATCCTGGCGTATTACGTCATCAACTTCCTGTGCTGCGCAATCGATCGACAACCTGACAAACTCATTGAGCGGAGCTGACCTCCGACCATAATGCTTGTCTAACAGTCGATCGATTGCGCATGGGCGGAAGAAGTTCACTTGATAAGCCAGGACGTCCTACCTGTTATCAAAGGTGTTTGGAGTGGACTGATCCGATTTGCGCCGTAATAGGGGCGAGGAAATCGAGTCAGAGGGGCTTCTGTGTGCAGTCAAGCGTGATACGGGTTGACATTACTAGTCGCTCATCACTGTTTGCTTAGCGTTTGCCGTTTTTATTTTAAAATCGTATAATCGCGGCCCTTATTATCAGAAATTATGATTATATCTGTTATTTTGATACTTTTGTTTATTTATAATGTTTTAATTACTTTATTTTCTTGTAGTTAGAGACGATACGGCTTTAAAATAAACAGATCAGCTTTCTCTTGCCAACAAATTATCTCAACTTTCACCGATTGTCGTCGGTTCCTTTGTAATCGGATAGGAATTGACCGTATTTCAAAGTCCAGTGTTAATTGTTTATTGCTCTTGCGGTAATGTGAGTAGACAGGGAGAGTCCTTTAATGAACCGCCAATTGTTTTACGACTGTTTAAACTACTTCTCCCCACTTGTTATTTTTAGTAACTAGACACGTTTGTCAAGGTCGGTTAAAGTTTATTACTTTCACAACAGTGTGTCAAGTGAGCTGCCATCCACGCCCACTGTTAATGACAACAACGCGCGAAGTATCACGCTACTCTGTAAATAAGAACTCCCTTCCTTGTTGGAGGCGGGTCAGATGTCAAGGTTACTGTAATTTTATTGAACAGAATGTTGTCCTTGATATTTAAGAATCAGTTTTGTCAGAACTGTTTACTTTTAATACATTTTTTATAATTTATTTCCGCTTCGGATATAAAATTGTTTTTATCATGTTCTAAATCGATTTGTTATAAATTATACTTGTATAAACTT